AACGTTCCCAGAAAGGAAAAACAACCAAGATCATATTCAAATGATTTCGTCATCTTCACTGTGAGCTGAATGTCAGAAAATCAGAACCAAAGTGAGAATCTTTCAGAACACATGCCGACACACAATGACTCACATAGAACTGACCCGAGAACGGTACATTAGCCGAGGCTTGTCACTGAACACACACAGATGTCCTGACACAGTGTGGAACTGTTGCCACAGATGGAACTTACTCTCCACATCCTGCTGCTGCAGTGCTGCAGAAAAAGGAAAAAAAATCTCCTGGAAGTCAGATCTGCTACAACTGTGTCCTTACAACAGGAGCCTGTCCTCACACACACACACACACACACACACACACACACACACACACACACACACACACTTACAAACAAACACACATACATACCTGATTACGCTGTATGCTCATGCCTTCTATCACTGCTGCACACTGATTAAGTGTGTGTGTGTGTGAGAGAGAGAGAGAGAGAGGGAGAGCGCACAGGCAGGGAGGCTGCGTAGGCTGTGACGAAGGAAGGAGGAAACGAGAATTGAGAAGGAAGGTGAGGGACAGAGGGGGAGAGAAGACATGCAGCTACAGTGTGTGTGTGTGTGTATGATTAAATAAATTCTCCCTTCTCAGCAAAGTTTTGTTCCTCCACCCCCACCCTCTTTTCAACCCACACCCACACACTCCTGTCAGGTCTTTAGGTACAGACCTGACATGGGTTCATCAGCCTCCTCCCACGTGAGACTTTGAGGAAGGTGTGTGCGTATGGTCAAAGTCCAACATTTTCAAACTCTAATAAATACTGAAGTGGGAGGGGCCAGTTCTGACTTGGCTGCTCTCAGGGATTGGTTGCAGCAGTGGGAGTGAGGCTGTGGGTGAGGATGGGTGTAGCTAATAACTCCTAACTCCCTCTAATGGAACAGAGTTAATGTTGAACCATCAGATGAGATGATTCTGCTGACACTATATAATTCAAGTCCAAGGACATGTATTTCCAGGATTTGATCCCTGCACACGCAATGGAGCAAAAGTGAACTCCTGGTCACTGTGACACAGCACACCACTGCACACATCAAATGTGACCTCTGCTTTTAACCCATCACCAAAGTGAACAGTGGGCAGCAGGGGGGAGCAGTGTGTGGGGACAGTGCCTTGCTCAGAGCACCTCAGTGGTAAACTGGACAGCTGGTGGACTCAAACCTGAAGCCTTCTGGACTCAAGTCCGCTTCCTTAACCACTAAGCCACCACTGCCCCATGAGTCACACTTGCAGGTTATTATGACGCAAGTGCAGCTGTCCAATCAGGAGAGAGCTCGGTTTTGACACTGTCAGACTTTGAAACCAGAGATGATTCTTTTTTACATGAGGAACTCCAGACCAGGGTTGTTCCAAACCTGTGGTCAACCACACAGTTCTATAGGCTCTGGTTCTATTCTCCACAGATACTGTATTGCTCCAGGTCATTTTTACACAGATGACACACAGATTAACATTACACCAAGGTGGCTGCAGGTAACCAGTCTGGGGGATTTGAACAATGCACTTGGGGCAGTGGTGGTTAAGGAAGCGGGCCTGGGTCTTGAAGGGTTCAGGTTAGAGTCCACCAGCTGCCAAGTTACCACTGAGGTGCTGAGCATGGCACCGTCCCCACACACTGCTCCACCCTGCTGCCCGCTGTTCACTTTGGTGATGGGTTAAAAGCAGAGGTCACATTTGGTTGTGTGCAGTGGTGTGCTGTGTCACAATGACAAGTTCACTTAAGGTGCCCCAACAGTTCTGCTCTATTGTCAGGCACACCAGTCTCATCATTGATCTGAATAAAAAAAAAAAATTCCACTGCCGTCACACACACACACAGAGCAACAAACAACAGGTTTTAACAGCCGTTAGAACAGTGAGAGTAAAATCATCAGACGTTATTAATCTGTGAGATAATAGATCAGTCTCACTAAGGTATGACATTGAATTCAGGGACGAGTCTAGACAAGAGAACCAAACACCAACCACAGTACACACACAAACGAACCAGGAGTGGCTGAAATTGGACTGAAGACAAAAGCAGTAGAACTAGAATTATTAAAAACTGAGCTCACACACAGGGAGCGGGTTTTTAATAGGTGGACTGCACTGAGGACTACAGTTATGCAACAGCCTGTGGGAGTGAAGTGCTGCAGCAGCAACACTGTCACAACCAGAGTCAGGCAACAGATTCAAACCGTCAACCAGTCAGTCAGTCGGAGAGAAACACCGAGAACTTCGTTAAAATCCAAAGAACCGTCTGCTAACAGATAAGAAACGCTCAGCTGTTTGGACTTCGAGTTTCTATACAAGTGTCGCCATCTTGTGGGAAAAGGATTTCATAGTTTCTTTTAAAAGGTCTAATGTGTGTGTTTCAAATGTTTATTTACAGCATAAAAAAGGAAGTTTCAAATGTCATTTGAAACAAAGCTGTAAAATGCATCTCATGTCAAAATTAAAAAAAAAAATAGAAGTAAAGGCATTTACAGACATGTACAGACTCTCAGCAAAAATGAGATAAAAAATAAAATATGTTTTTTAAAAATTTAAATAAAATTCTAATTTAAAACAAAAAAGTAAAGGTAAAAAAAAAAAAAAAAAAGCGTAAATTCAGGAGGGCAATCCAGCAGCCAGGATGCTGCCCAGCAAAGTCCGATCCTTTAAAGCGTTTTCCACGTCTTTCTCCTCAATCTTTAGGAAAACCTGTAGGAGAAGACAAATCCGTCAAACTGTGTTTGGACAACAGGTCTCTGACATTAATGCAAAGTTAACCAATGTTTGTCCAACAGAAGATATCCTACCTTGGTTAGTCGAGATTCTTTGGATTTCTTCAGCGCGAAGATCCCTCGACTCTCCAGCAGAGAGCAGAGCGACAAACACTCACCTTGACCCACCGCAGACACCTGCCTCTGGGCACAGAGTCGACTGTAGACCTCATGTAGCTGAAACAACATAGCAGACTCGGTAAGACTGACATACAGCGCCACCTGCTGGTGGTTTGTACAACGAGAATTTTAGGGGGAGACGGAGGGAAAATGACAACTGCAGATGTTTAGACTTTAATGTAAATAGGGACCCCGAAAGAATGTCTACATACAAAAAACTTGACTTGTTTTAGTGAGAGTTAAATTTTAAGTTTGTTAAAAAGTTGAGGAATATTATATATTTTAAATATAATATTATATATATAAATAAATAAATAAAAATAAATAAAAGTTCCTCTTAAAATATGTGGCGCTTGGGTAATGAGAGTTGAATTTTTTCGACTCACCTTCCCCAGGACAACTTCTTTGCTCTTCCCACTGCGGCTG